GGGGGAGAAGAAGAGAAGATTACGGGGGAGAAGAAGCGATTACGGGGGGGAGGGGAGAAGAAGACAAGATTACAGGGGAGAGAAGAAGCGGAGAACACAGGGAGGGGGGGAATAAGAGGAAAACACCGGGGGAGAAGAAGAGGAGAACACGAGGGGTGGGAGATGAGAAAGTAGAGGAGGGAGAGACCACTAAAGGAGGGAGGGGGCAGTGGAGAGACCGCTAAGGGAGGGGGGTGGAGGATAGACCACTAGGGGAGGGTGGGGGGAGAGGAGAGACCACTAATGGAAAGTCGGGGAGAAAAGGAGACCATTAAGGAAGGTGGGGGGGAGAGGAGAGACCACTAAGGGGCAGGGGAGATATCTAAGGAATGGAAGGGAGAGCTCTATAGGACAGGGGGACAGGGAGCTCTTTCACACCACGCGCGCGCGCGCACACACACACACACACACACACACACACACACTGCATCCCTATACACACAGAAACACAACATGCTTCCCTTACACACAGAGAAACACACAATGCAACCCTTACACATAAAGACAATGCATCCTTTGCACATATACACAGAACACACACAATGCATCCCTTACACACATATGCAAACACACACTGTTTCTCTTACACACAAACACAGAAACACAATGCATCTCTTACACACACTCAACACACCCCTTACAGACACACACACTGCATCCCTTACATACACAGAAACACACTTTGCATCCCTTATGCATACAAACGCAGATTCACACAATGCATCCCTTACACACAACAAGAAACACACAATACATCCCTTATACACAAACACTCACTGCTTTCTATCCCTTACACAAACAACACTGCATCACCTACACAAACTGGTATCCTATACACTACATTCCGTAAGCACACACATTAGATCCTCTACAGTAACACATAACACATCCCCTACACACTCTACTCCCTGTGAGCGAACTCATGGGTGGAACATGTAGGTGGACTTATGGGTGGGCTTTATGGGCATACTCACCATCAGGCCCTGGGGCCCAGACCTTGAGCTATGTAAGAGGCCCCCAAAAATGGAGCTGCTTCCCGTTCTCCCAGAACATTGAATTTTGTGACCACAGTTGCAAACAGCCTCCAGAGATCCTGTTCTACACCAGACCAGTGGAGCCAGACTGCAGCCAGAGCCCATCACCATCCTCATCTGATTGTAAGTAGACAATCTAGTATATTATTAGTGACACTAATCTCTAATTTACCTCACATTAAATGGACACTATAGTCCCCAGAACCACTGCAGCTTAATAAAGTTGTTCTGGTGTCTATAGTTTGTCCCTGTAGGCTTTTTAATGTAAACGCACACTGTGTGCAGCACTGGCATTAGTTCATATGGGTGGGGCATTGCGATGTTCCGGGGGAGGGGGGGGGCGGAAAATCTTTCTTTTGCCTAGGGCGGCAAAAATCCTTGCACCGGCCCTGAATATATGTTCAATATAATCCAAGCCTGGAGGTTTGGAAAATGGATTCCATTCTGTGGCCTGCTTTCAGTAGACAATATGCTTTCTGTTTAAAGATGTTAAACATTAATAAGTGTAGATAAATATGGTTCATCATGTTCATGAATTTGTGTTTGTTATAGGTGTATCCGCCCTGAGGAGAATATTAGCCTACCGTTCAGCAGAATGGCTGGTGTTGTAGAGTAGCAGGTATTTGGCTTGTGTTGTGTGCACATTCTCTGTGCTGTAGCCGATAATATGTGTAATTACAGCTAATTAAGAGCTGAAATTAAAAGGAGCTACCAATATGGAAATGTCTTTTATATTCGGCATTGAGAAGCAAGGATCAGAAAGGAAAGATTTTCAGAATTATTATGTGATTGAATATATACAATGTACAGAAAGCATCTAAAAAAATAGCCCTTTCAGATGTTTCTGAACTACAACACTGGAGATGTCTTAGGGATGCAATTGATTTTTGCAAAGTCCCAAATGGTCCCACCCTATCACTAATTTAGACAGCCGGACCCTGTAACTCAGTTCTGGTCTCACGGAGGGGAAAATATCTATCCTGAAATGTTTGAGATCTCGGCAAAAGCAAGTGCATGTGCGCGGGTGCCAAAGGGGCGTGAAACTAATAAAACTCTGGGCAAACGTCTGAGGATGGCCCTCTAGACATGTCAGTAGCGTTTACCCTCACATTTCTAGGACACCAAGAGGTTACGTCCTTACTGAATTCATATTCAACAATGAAAGACAATCAATTTATGTTCCTGAAGCCATTCTCACACAGCTTGACGTGTTCAGTATAACCTTAAAAGACTTTAATCTCCTTCTGTGTCAGCTCTCCATGATGACCCACACAATGGGTGACATGTTAAAATGACAAATTCCATTTCAGGAACTTCAATAAGAAATGGGAAAAAATGTATTCCTTCACATCTGATATATAAATGTACTAATATGATTTCTGTTTGCCTTAATAAATAGTACTCAAGATAATGAATTCTTCCCATGAGACTGCAAAGGCTCACTTTTGTTGTTGTTTTTATTTACATATGGAAGACAAGGCAGCATACCAACAAACTTACCTATCTACATAAACTCATAAAAAAAAAAAAAAAAAACAGAAGTCCACAAATGTCTAATCTGCCAAAGATGTTTATCCATAAAACATCAACATAACAAACCCAGGTTTTTGACTCCAGATTTTTTTGGATTAATAACGCCCAACCTGACTTGAAGACATCTATTTTTTTACACATTACGTTAATGCTTCAAAACAATGACACAATATAAATCACACACCGGCTGTGCTAAAAAGAACAATCAATCTCATTCTTTGCTTAATGTTAAATCTCATTTTAACCTAATTTGCCATTTGTTACATTAATTATTACTAGAACCACTGAAAGTTCTTTGACTGGAATTCAGACTCGTCATTGTCACATTTCCTCCAGACTAGATGGGCCGAATGGTTCTTATCTGCCGTCACATTCTATGTTTCTCTGTAACAAAAATCTAAATTTAGCACGCTCATCATCATATTTGAACTTGTTGATTATTTTTTGTTCCAGTTTCAGTGATTGGATCTCAGGATGCTACTTTATAACTACTCACCTGGAGTTTTATGCCTGATGACTCAGAATTTCTGAAAATGTGCTCATTAATCACAAGAATTGGCTTACTCACTTTGTGATCCCAACTATCTGGGCATTCATTCTAAAGCTTATCATAATTGACTTTCAATAATATTCTTATACTCTCCAGGATTCTGCTCATTCACTTTAAAAGTCTGTTCCTTTCCCCATGTGACGAAAGCAATTTGCCACTGGTTTTTGGAGAGGACTAATGGCCAGCCTTTTGCCCAAAGACTATGGGCCCTGCAAAAAGTGCCTTTCATGGTAAAATGTGCCTCTTCCCCTCCCCCTTTTTCCTGTCCTTTTGTTTCCCCAGCAGGGCGTTGTCCCAAGGACACTGCCAGACCAGTTTAAACTGGCTGCTTTGTCCCTCCTCAATCTCCCATCAGCCCTTGCTATTGTCTGACCCCACCCTTCCTTGTACTATAGTGCACTTTTAACATTGAAAGTAGACCGGCCGCACAGCCTAATTCTTTGGAACTATTTTGGGCATGAAAGCCATGCTTGCGGTCGGTCAAAAGAGATTTCCATAAAACTTTTGAACCCCTGCTCTGATCTTTGATGATTTTTTACATATGTTGTTCACCCAGATCAGGGCTATCCAGGGATGTAGGATTTATGGGGATATGTTTGAGTTTTGGGGTGTTTCTGAACTTTGGGTAAAAATATTTTCTGCCTGTGGATAATTAAGTTATTCCATTAGCTAGCTTAATTATATCACAGGCAGAGGAGAGGGCTTGCTGACTGTATGTGGGAGTGTTACTGTGATAATTATTGTTCTTATTGTTTTGTGTCCCTTTTGTCCCTGTGTTCCATCAGGCCCAGGGGGTGTGCCACTGGCCTGAAAATGTGTATAAAAGAAATGCCTTTGTGCTCAATAAACCAGACCTTCTTACCCTCAACTCGCAGCCTCGTTTCGTGTTGTAGGGAACAGCTATAACTGCTATATCACTGCTAGCTCTATACAGCTATACTCTCCTGGAGAAGAGGTCCTTCCTACAGCTATACTCTCCTGGAGGAGAGATCCTTCCCAGACAGTCCTGGATCCAGAGGTTGGACCAGGGTATGAAGGAGACGGCGAGACCCCAAACTAAGCAACAGCGGTTCGTGGAGTCTGCGGTGGTTATGGTGTCTGGTGCGGTGCTGATGGTCCTTGAGAATCGCTAGGAGCATCCATTGGCGGAGGAATCCGTTACACCCCATAAATAATAACTTGCGTATCCTGAGAATCTACCCATTTACTTGGTGAACCAGAGACTGTGCCCAACTGCCACATTTTTACTATTCTATGGTTAGTGGATAAATCATTGGATGCTGAGAATTAGCCTGTTCAACATGTGTGTTCCTTTTGGAATTTATCGGGTGGATTGTGTATGTTACCCCAAATCATAAGAGGAGTCTATTAAATTAACCACAAGAAACGTATGGTATGTTTATTGACTTGGGGTGACTAGGATTACTGTGATGTTTTAAAATGACTAAATAATTTATTAGATCTTATTTAGTGATGTCCCGAACGGTTCGCCGAATGGTTCGCGAACGGTTCGCCACGAACGGTTCGCCACGGACTCATCATTGAGTAAACTTTGACCCTGTACCTCACAGTCAGCAGACACATTCCAGCCAATCAGCAGCAGACCCTCCCACCAGGTGGGAGGGTCTGGGAGGGAGGGTCTGCTGCTGATTGGCTGGAATCTGTCTGCTGACTGTGAGGTACAGGGTCAAAGTTTACTCAATGATGAGTCCGTGGCGAACCGTTCGTGGCGAACCGTTCGCGAACCGTTCGCGAACCGTTCGGGACATCACTAATCTTATTCCATCATTTTGCTGATGACCAATGCACTGATGTTTACCTATTCACTCGCAGATGACTTTGGCAAGCCTTAAATGGTAGATTTCATATCCCTAGCCATTAATTTCACTCCTCATTCAGCAATTTTGCCATAGCACCCTACCTGACAATTTCCCATGCCATAATGTATTGTCCCTCATCATGAGTATTCATATCATGCCTACTGCCACAAATTTCACATCTTTCCTTCTCAGTTATACATTGTATATTCTCTGCCACTCATCACATTAGATACCCCCCACTACATAGAATTAAATCTCACCCCGCTGGCTATCACAATGGATAAATGGAACTGACGTTCATGTCAAAATGTGCTTCCAACCCTAAATAGCATTTTAAAGATTCCTAGTCCCCAGTTTCAGGTCTCCATTTCACTTTTCATTTATCAGTGCCTCATTTTTCCAGTTTTCCAAATGACCAGTGTGGGCCTGGATATTAAGTCTGGACATTAATGCAAAAAAAGAATTAATGAAATTCACCAACAATCATCTAGCTCATTTTGGAATTAATTCCACCGTGATCTACTTTGCTGTTTGTGAAAACAAGATCACACAGAAATCGTTGTTTAAGCTTTTGACTTCATTGTTCCTTAAGTGTTA